CCAAACGTCAAGCAGCTCGCCCACAGGTCTAGCTTCCTCCTGACCCAGTCCGGGATAAGCTTTAGTATCCGTTTCGTACTCCGTCGAAACCGGTGTCCATTGCATAGATCGAAGAGTGTCCTTGCGAGCCTCCTCAGCCGCTTTGCTCAGTGTAGTGCTGCCAACATTAAGTGATGCCAGGAAAGATTCATCCATGGCGACAGCACCACTGTCTGAAAGAACGTCTTCATCTTCGTCTATCACGTCACCTTCGGAAGCACAGTCGTCATCACAGATGCCGGCACCATCGCTCTCGTCTGAGCTATAGTCCTCGTACTCACTGCTGTTCTCCCCATCCTGCAACACGTTCACGTCATCCGTGGCTGTCAGCGGTACTCGAGCTAGTCGTTGTGCAACGATGAGGGTATTGGTGGGTCCAGTGCATACATCTTCCCCTTCGCTCTCCATTCCCGACGCCTCGGATAATGTGCAAGATTGTGGCAGCCTCTCTTTTTTTCTGTTCGGCTTCTAAATCACTCGGGGAGAGATCAAATGCTCTCATTACCGCAGCCTACGAAAGCTCAACCTCCGATTCACTGGAGGATCCGAACATCTGGTCGATAGTATTTTGTGATAGCAGAGCACTTGTGTCAATTTGGGAGGGTGTAATGCCGTTTTCAAAATCAGTTCCTGCATTATCATGCCGTGTATCGCTCCCGACTTCCTCTGGGGTTTGATCATCTCTACCCCCCTGGCCATCTTTACCAGCAACCGCTACCGCGTCTTCCTCAGCCAACAATCCCGACTGGAAGGCGTAATCGACAACCGCACGCTCACCTATGAAGACGTGAGCTCTCTGCGGACTTGTGTATGTCCACTCTGTCTGCAGTCCTCTCGGCCGCTTGGACGTCCACCCCACCGCCTTGAGCTGTCGCCATAAGTGCCCAAAGTCAACGTCGTGTGCGGCGACAGCTAGGGCGGCAGGTTTCTCGCGGCGACTGGAGCGCTTCCGTGTCATCCAGCAAAATCTCGAATGAGCGGTCAAGGATTCACCTCCCACCTGATCCCCATCCCCTGACCTGGTTTTGTTTTCGTTCCTGAAAAACCTCTTGCAGCTTATATGTTGCATCATACTTGATTAAAGTATTCAAAAATCATTTCCGAGCCATTTGCTAGTAAACTTTGCGCTATGTCGTAAGTTACGACATAAAAAAATGGATGTCGTTAGTTACGACGTCCGGAACCAAGGTGTTAAATCTTTTTCTATGAAATTATAATGTAAGTTTCCAGCTCACTACGCGTATACCAAGCACATGTATCACAAAAGCACTCGCCAACTTTTTAAAGCACACTCCCTGTCTCCTTAAACAACGCTACAACTTTTATAATTTCAAGCTAACTGGTTAGCGTTAGATGACTTTCGGCGAATATCAGTTACAGACGCTCGTGATGAGTACGACAGGTGCTGATCTTCGCTGTGTACCAGCAGCCCCTATCAAAAAAAACGGAAGTATTACATAGCCAAGTCCTTTTGTGGTTGCTGCAGCACTTGTTCCTCATGTCTAGTATGCGGAAGTTCGTTTTCGCAAATAATGATGACGACAGCATTACCAACATCAAACGTTTGGGCGGTATGAGTCTACAACGAATGAAATAGCGGATACTATTATCTACACCGAATGCAATAGTGGATACTATTATAGCACGCTACCAGCCATGTAAGGAAAACAAATAAAGATTTCTTAAATGTGATGAGTACACTCGATGTATATTCTTAACGATCGACTTTATGCTGCTCACGAGATCAACAAGATGATCTCGTGCATGTATGAGACCTTATTGGCGCTAACCCCAATCTAAAAAGATTTTCGCGCTGAGTTATTTTGATTGCGATATCGGCCGGGATATTTTCTAGCGTGCTCAGCTTTCCCACTAATTTTGCCCTTTTTATGATTCTCAACTCATGTTGACATCAACTTCTGCAGTTTATTGTGTATGTCTACATCAAGAGGATGCACTAGCATACAAAAACGGCCATCATGTAAATGCTGTGGGGTGTGCTATAAATCAACCCGGACAACATACAAGATGGAATGCTTTGGTGTGTGCAAAGTGCGGATGCAGATGTACCCGCCTTAAATAGACGATATCGTGTAGCTGCATGTACCATCCAATCAGTAAATTACAATGGTTGTATATTATTTTTTAGTAACGGTACGCAGTGTTTTGGGCACCGTTTGGCTACAAACGGATCGATCTTCTGGTTATTTTGTAGATTATTACGCTTAATCATTTGGAAACCTGTAGGCATTTGAAACACGTTTTGGGGGATTTAGAAATGGGAAGTTTCCGGATTATATCAGCAGTATTTCCGGGACAAGGAATCGAGTCGTATGACAGCAGCGTCACGGATGTCCTCAGTCTTATTCAGGGCGTAAGAGTCGTCACAAGCACGGATAGACCAGACCGTAACTCGTAGAGTAGGAGCAGTTTTTTTTTGTTTTTTTAACGGTCTAAGTAGCAGCTAGCGCCATTCATTCTCGGTGAGCGTCCCATGTTCTCCCACGGAAACGCTGCCTGAACAGACTTCAGCTTACGCTAAGCGGCTGCGGAGCAGGCGCATCAGATGCTATCATACGCTAATATCCTTCTTGTGATCGCGATGCGACTCGCACAGTGTGTTCCCGTATTTACTACGGTATACGGGACTGCAGTAATAGTATACTGTAGAGCGATAATAGGGAACGTATGGGAACTAATATCCTGGTAAAGTTTGAGCAGATCAAATTGACAAGTAGCGGACTTTAAATAAACTACATGTATGGCTGAGGAACCAGTACAATACTACGCGTATAATTGAAGGAAAACGTAGGATGTTATTGTCTAATATAATGAAGGTCTGGCTGATTCTTCTCATCGACGTTTGTCTAAATTTGGGCTGTTGGTCAAAGTAAAGCTCGCGAAACAGAATACGCTGGCATCAAGTAGTAGCCTCATTCAGAAATGCTGAAAGTATATATAACAAGGTGTTCGACCTCATTCTAGATCAAAATTGGAGAGCTGTACGTCAGCCCTGCTAGAGGCGTGAGGAAATATCCGAGTCCCCAAAAACGTGCCCAAAAGTGCCCAAACGATTTAGCGTCGTGATCTTCAAAATACCTTAAAGACCGATACATTTGTAACCAAAACAGCGCCCAAAACACTGCGTACAACCATTGCTAGCTAAACAGTCTCGACCAACGAAGTCGACATCAGTAATAAACCACAGAAGTTGATGTCGATTTTTATTGAGAATCGTAAAAGGGCAAAATTTAGTGGGAAGTTGAGCACGTTAGAGATAAGTCCCGGTCAATATAGTTATCAAAACAATATAACGGAGCCGTGTTTCACCATTGGCTATATCTGGATAATGTACGTCAGTAGCAGGAACTAAACGAGCTTTACTCAGAGTCCCCGAAATAGGTAATACTGAATAAGATTCAGAACTAGTGACTGGTTTAAAGGATGCAATCAGGGATCTGTGGTATTCTGAATACAGCAGTTGTGATGATCAGTCGAGAATTATACTGGCTCATCAAACAGAGAGTTAAGGTGTGATAAAGTGAAGAAAAACGTCGGGCGTCATTACCGAGCGAATTGACCTTCAGGAGTTATCCTCGCTTCGCTAAACACGTATGCTACGTCATGGAGGTTACCCAGTAGCCCCAGTACCGCTGGCATGATGTTCTGTTTAGTCTCCAGCCGTACGATTCGCTGGTAGCTATTGTCCCATAGGAAACACACGGATCCATGCGCCGTCAGACGCTGGTTCACAAGCTTTGAGTTTACCCTTTGCGCATTGCTGCAACCTTGATCTGGAGCCACATGCGGGAACAAATGACGTAGCGTATGCTCGTTCATCGTGAAGGAAACTTCGGTAGTTGCTAGGAGTGCGTTGCCGTCCGTACCAAGCGCTTTAATCTTATGGTGAGACCCTCGCAGTAGAACGACAACAATCGCCAGCTCTCCAGAATGACATTTACGCCACACTCGACCCCGTCAATCACGTCCGGTGCCATAGCTGCTAGCAGGAAGCTTAACCGAGGACCCTGCTTCCCAGGCGATAGTGATGCAGACGACGATTTGGACTCCTCGTAGCACTTAGAAAGGACGCGGAAGAACTCGGTCGCCACGAGCCAAAGATTTGTATTCGCCGGTTGGCGCTTAGCAATGACGCGCAATTTGAGCCCGAGCCTCAAATCTTCGGCTTGTTCTTGTAGCTGACGAACGCGTTTGGTAAGGCTTTCCTCGCGCTGGCGCTGTCGATTCCTGTACCTCGCCTGGTTAATGCGGCACCTGCTCACGCCAAGTTGCCTTCATCGCCCGCTTCTTTGAAGAAGCACGAGTTTTCTCTTTGCCTGCAGTTTGGCCTTGTCGACCGGAACGTTGACTGGAAGAAAACCCCGCCTTGCTCTGGACGTTTGGCTTTGGTGATACTTGAGAAACCGACCCGACGGGATCGCACTCGCAAGGTCGAGCACATTGAAAGACAGGGCCAACGATTTCAGTCTACCCCGGCGGGTAGTGAGCTCTGATATCCTTACGGGGCAAGGAAATCGTGAAGTAGTTGATGCGTCTTGAGGCGAAATGCAAAAAATGAGATGTAAAAAAGCGAAGCGAGGTTGCTCTCATCCAATTTGCGGAGTTTTTTTTTCAGCTGCCATCGAAAAAAAAAACAATTTAGTCGTAGGACAGCTCTGTTGTAGGGGAGAAACGCTGTCAACAACGAGTCCGTGCGTGCACTATTCGTCAACGCTGCTCGTACCTCATTGGATGACCGACTGAGAAACATTTCTGCTGCCTCTATTAAATTTCCATTTAAAAACAATCGGGATGCAAACCATATTGTTAGCAAGTTGGTTCTTTAAGGCGTGAGGCACGCCCTCGGTGATGACGCGGGACACGCACAATAATATGTAGTCATGAAAACATACGGAGAGCGGGCGGGTCTCACGGCGACTGAAGAAGATTAATGTCATGGCATGGAGTATGAGAGCTATAAACGGAGTAAGGAATACGAAGGCAGCTTCTCCGGGTTGGACTTGAGTTCGACAGCACAGTTCGTGCTTTACAAGTAAGCCCTGGAGGGTGTTAACATTAGATAAGCGATGCTACAATGAAAATCAGCTCGACAACTTGTTTACTTTGTTGAATGTTGCCACTAAAGGCTCGCCGTGCAAAATCACATTTGATTGAGAGTTGAGTATAAAAAACTATGTGAAAATAAAGCACTTTTAAAAATGAATAATGAACACTTGCGGTTGCTCGAAACCCGGACAACAATTTTGTCGAACACAATTAGATGATATGCCACTCCTTAATCAAAAATACGTATCAGCACCTTGCATGATTGGGTTAAAAAAAGGCTTATGCTGGATTGTAATGTCCTCTTTTGCAAAGAGTTTCAGCAAGCATCAAAACATTAAAAATACTAGCCGATGTTCGATGAGTCAGCTCTCACACTTCCAGTTTTTTCAGCAGCACACAACTTACGCTAGAGTCATGCAGCTTCAAGACGCCATCGCGTGGGCGGCCGTCGCCTCCTTTGCCTCCGCTTCATCTAGTGGTATAGCGAAAAGCGACCTGAATGGGTGGTACCCCTGCTCAGATTACATCTTTTCAGATGATAACGGCTCGACGGCGGAAAGATGCTCAATGTGCAATTTACAGCGCACCTTTGTGCTACTCAGGAATATGTACAACACCCAATAAAATCTACCACAATATCGACATATTCGTCAAAGCAGTTACCTGCCACGACAACTTACACCGAGAGTGCATCCAACGTGTGGCTGATTCAGGGAGGCCCAGGCATTTCATCGACCGGTTGTAAGTAATATACTACAATATTTTAAAAACATTTCATAGAAGAAGGAGCACTAATGTTCTAGTTGTTATGAGATGCAGTGGAGAGTACAACGGTGATGCTACACTCCGAATTAAAAGGAGAGGTCAACGTGTACACGATGGATCATCGCGGCAGCGGACGCAGCACAAAATTTGAATGTGTCGCAGCCCAGGTTACCACAACAGGATCGCCTTGGCGCGGTGATATTGATGCCACCAAAGTACCAGCATGTGCCAAAGACTTGCACATCAAATACGGGAACCTTTCGGCTTTTTCCATGACGACTGCTGCAACTGACCTCGCGACATTCGTCTCGAAATTCACAAATGAAGCGGATACCATTGTCTATGGTACGAGCTACGGTACAAGTCTGACTGAAAGGCTCATGCATCTCGCTCCTCCCAAAGTGATCGGATATGTATTGGATGGAGTGGCTACAGCGTCAGGGGTCCTTGACGAAACGTTCCTCTATACGTCCAGATGGGACACTGACGTTATAGAGGTAGGTGATGCTTGCATGTCGCTGTGTCCTAGCGATAAGGAGTGTAGCTCCCGTTTCAGCACCAAGAATCTCAACAGTACGGAAGAAGATTTTCCGTACTAAAAGCGTCCTAAACGTCCTAACTTGTCCTAATACCTACTGTCATAAATTACGGTATTGGCACAAAACTTCGGCATGGGTTATAGGATCGTTAGGACAGTTAGGACAGTAAGGACAGTTAGGACAAATACGAAAGTTGTAAGGCTACACTACCCATGCCAACGAGAGATATCTTATGGCTTACAGAATGCAGAATGCTACTCAAACGCCATGGATTCCCCGGGGACTTCAACGTCCACAGACCGCGCATGAGCAGGAGCGCTCTGTCGATCATGCTTGATGTCGTCCAGCAATTTTATGTAGGAATGTGCCTGCAGCTTCAATGAAGACGAGAATACTTGGCTATGTGTTTCTGCATGATTGGTTCCCGTTAACTTTTAAAAACCTCAATCCCAAGTTTGACTCAAAATAGGTTTTAACTTAGCTATGTGTTTCTGCATGATTGGTTCCCGTTAACTTTTAAAAACCTCAATCCCAAGTTTGACTCAAAATAGGTTTTATGATATGTCCTAAATTTCCGACTAAAATACCGGTTTTTAATTTTGGACAGTATTAGGATTGCAATATTTTTCCGGATTTAGAACCTTTTTAGGATACATTTTGCAATCTATGCCAGTAATTTACGACGTATTTTAGGATTTTGTAGGACAGTTAGGACAGGATTAGTACAGAAAATTCGACACCAACAGTACTCTTCAAGGTCTAATTGAGATCTTATCAGCGATCCCAACTCGACATGTGCGGCGTTGATCACCCGCGTCGGAAGCAAGGGCAATACCTTACCGTCACACACGCTACGCTCTGCTCTTGGTACCGTGCTGATGGGTATGACCACTCGAACACTCATCCCGCATCGACTGGATCGCTGTGGTCCCGAGGATATCAATATCCTGGCAAAAAAATTTCCAATTATCAAGGCAGACAACAAAGCTGCAGATAAAAGGAACCCTTTCGACGCTCTATCACTCTACTACCTCATCGTGTTCTCTGAGATGATGGAGTCGCCATGTTCGAGATGAAAGCTCGATTCACGAACGTAATGATGAGCAATGGGGGGGGGGTATACTTGATGGGTAAGCAGTACTGTACCTTTCAAAAGAAAAGTCGGCGTTTTGCGACGAGTTCAATGTGGGCAATTATCACTCAAATGTCATCATCTACAAGCATGATCAGTACTGGAACAAAGCTGCTATGATTCCAAACCATGCAAGTGTTTACTACTGAGTGGTAAGCTAGACCCTCAGACCACCAACAAATACGCGGAATACTTGTTGGATGCACTCCATGGTAACAAGGAAGGAGCTTATTACTTTCAAATACGCAACACATGGCGCTATGGGAACAACGCAAATGGGTTGCAGGTGACCCATGGAGTGAAACGTGCGGAATGAACTAGTCGCATCCTATGCTCGGACAGAGTACCGTGACGCACACGACTTCCCCGTTCTCGAAAGGAGTCTGTAGGCGCGTCCCGCATGAAGGCATTTCGAGGCGAGATTTTTGGGCTAAATTTGACGATGCTGGTAAACAGTAACCTGTGATGCAATAAACAGCAAAATAAAGGTCGTTCCGGATATTTAAACACCTTGACTGGTAACAAACATGTTTATCGCCTTCAACACTAAGGTAAAATGCTAGTTTAAGTCATTTGGATCCGTTTAAGGCGCACGTATAGCTGTCGTAGATACATCTGATTGGTTATTTTTAGAGCGGCGCTCGCCTCCACGAATACCTGTCAGTTTTGATCTGGCTTCCAACCACGAAGCGTCGCACAACGTATAGCAGCAAAAAGATGGATTTGGTGAGGTCTACTCGCGAGGGAGGCAACATTGAAGCTATTGGCTTCTTGACTGCGATACTACGAGACAGTACAGCACGATATCTTGCTTCTGCCTGCTCGCCAACACAAGCAGAGTAGGAAAAGAAAAACCAAGACAGTGGCTGGTAGATTGTTAGCGCGTGAGATGCTTCAGCAACCTGACCAGCCCTCCCAACGAAACGCGCCGAAGCGAACAAGAAAATCGCAGAGAGACAGAATTTCAACAAAAACGACAGCGAGTGGTATGCACCACCAGGACCAGGAGCTTCATCAAAAGCAATACCACGAGCACAACCACGAGAACGAGCACAAACACGAAGAGGAACAAGGCATGGAGAGCGAATTGGTGCTAGTGCAGCAGCAGTCAGAAGTTGCTAACAGTGATACGGTTCTGTTCGAGGTGAGCTTCTTAATACTCCGGATTTAATACACCATCTATTTTTATCCAAGCCAAGGCTATAATTTTACGTAGGTTCTCATTGGAATTTACAGAAATTCAATAGTG